CCCCAAAACCCCAAAACCCCAAAACCCCAAAACCCCAAAACCCCTCCTAACTAAAATATTTTTGAATATAAATTTGAACAATGGAGAAAATAATAAGTGGTCCTTTGGATATGTACCTTGAGGACCCCAGACTTTTGGAGAATTGATACCCAGAATTAGAAAGAAGGCTTGGAGAAGAAGGATTTCTTCAATCTCTAGCGAATGCCTTAGTAGCAGGAGCATCCAATTCAATGAGAGGGAAGAACATTTACTTCCATGGTAGGTTGATTAATGAGATTGCATTGCGGATGTAATTCTGGCTCTTTTCTCCAAATGCTAAGTCTTGTTTAGGAGTTGTTCTCAAATAACCTCATCATCAACCACTGGAAACAAGACTCTGAAGATGGTAACCTTCTGGGTAATTCGTAGCGACCGAGTGCAAAATCAGCCAAGCCGAGAAGCAAGCAGTCAAAGATATTCTGATTCAAAATATGAACCAAAAATCGTACCGGATATAAATAATTTGGTTGCAGTCATCATCTCCCAGATCGTCACTTATGATTTCCCGAATGTCTGGGACGGATTCCTTGACAAAGTTTGTGATGGCCTGGCTGAAGATGACATTTCGCAAATTGATTGCTCCCTGAGGATTCTCATCCGTTCGATAAAGCACGAAGAGAAATACCATATTCTTGTCAGCAAAGTCTTGGACAAGTGATTCTCAGCCTTCACAAACTCTGAGTCCGATAACAAGATTAGGGAGAAGTGTCTTCAGGTGTATTACCAGTGTCTCCGCTGAGTTTCGTGGGCAGACGGAATCGACGACAAAGTCATTTCTGAGGCCCTCGACGACAGCTTCAACCAGTGGATGGCACTGATGTTGCAGCTAATTCAATCCAATCCTAAAGTGCACTTTGACATCAAACGGAACGCTCTGAAATGCCTCACGGTGATATTCAGAGATATGGTTAATTATTCCAAAGACTCCATCAACATGGTGCTGCAGCCAGCCTGGAAACTGCTCAACGTCAACTTGTCTGTGTATACAGAGTCAGTTGGCTACGGAAAACCTATCGAGTACACTGAAGCAGACCTTGAGAACCTGGACCCAGACGACCTCAGAGAAAGCACTGACTACGGCATCGAGTCAGAACCAGAAGACGAAGAAACTGGCATCACAGGCATGACGATGCAGTTGATTGAGCTCCTGACATCTCTCGCAAACAAAGGGTCGATGAGAACACTGATTTCGTCAGGCATTGTTCCTCTAGTCACATCGGTTGCAAGCTACATGATCTTGTCGAAAGATCAGGAGACTGCCCAGGTTACTGACCCATCTCAGTTCGTCAACACAAATAATGAAAGCATTTATGAGCACTCTGTCAGGAACTATTGTCTGGACTTTCTTTCTCAGATGATCGAGAATTTCGATGATGAAGCAGTAGAAGCTTGATTGTGCATTTGTGAGAGGTTTCTGCTGTTGATGCAGAAACAGAAGTTGCCTAGCGTCGAAACCAACTTTGATGATGTAGACGTTCTCAGCTACACATATGACAGCCATGATCAAACTCACGGTCTCAAGAAGCGTGAAGTCGCCATGTACATTCTGGGCTCACTCTGAGACGACATTTTGAAATACAAAGATCGCAAAGAAGATGAAGATTTCTCGTTAATGAACATTTTCGGGTCAATTGCGCTGCCTGACCTCAAGAATTCTGACACTCCGACTATCCTCAGAGGCAGAGCTATGTGGTGAGCAACTCAGTTATCGTCACTGATGAAGGACAAAGACCCTCAGTGCATCGACATCGTCAAGACCAGCGTGTCAATGCTCGGAGCTGAGAACGAGCTCAGTCTGCGAATCTGTGCATGAAGGGCTCTGGTCCACTTCTTCAGCAAAGTTGATGTAGACCAGATCGAGGATTTCTCGAACTATGTAAGCAATATTTTAGAAAATGTTGACGGACTGTTGTTGATGTGTGATCAAGAAACCATCCACATTCCAGTTTCAGCAATGAAACATTTATCGAAGAAAGATGAAGAAGCTGTGTCAAAGATTGCTCACGAGTCTGCCCCAAGACTGCTTGAACTTTTTGAGTATTACCATGATGATAGAGTGATAGGGCCTGATCTGCTGGACATCTTCAAAATGTGGTCGAACTACGACTCATGCAAGACTATATTCTCAAAGAAGTACACTCCGTTTGCTCTGAAGATTGTCAAGAACTACTTCTACATGACCAACACCAAAGCTCACACTGGAATGGGCAACACCGACCACGCCAAGAAGCAGAAAGACGCATTCAGAGCACTTGAGAATGCTGACAAGATTCTGGACTCTTCGATTCTGCAGCACTCTCTGGACACCTTGTGAAGGCTGCTCAAGAAGACTGACCCAGACTCCGAAGAACACTCAAGCGTCATTGATATTTTCCCGATATTGTTGCAAATATCGCTAGAAAGTGACGACTTGTACTTGTTGCTGCACACCACGTCGACTCTGAGAACATTCATTGCAGTGTCACACAACAAAATTCTTGAGAGAGACGTCACTGACAAGATCCTGGCAGTGGCCAGGAAGATGTTGCTACCTGAGACCAACGAAGCGACTGCAGTCTTCCTGGGCAACTTCATCATCCAAATATTTTCCAAAATTTCTCCGAAAGTGGACACCGACATCCTGATGGGGGTCGTCGAGAAAATCAGAAAGTGACGCATCCCCACGATTGTACAGAGTTTAGTGCTAGTGTTCGCAAGGCTGTTCAATTCCAGCGCTGATAAAATCATCCAGTTCTTGTCAGAGACATCGGTGAACAACAAGTTGTCTCTGAAAGTGCTCTTAGACAAATGGCTGCTGCACCAGCCACTGTTCCGAGGCAACTATGCAAAGAACACAACGTTCGCAGCATTGCTGAACATCCTGGCGCTGCGCAATGAAAACATCATCAACCAGAACGTGGTGGGGTACAATCCGAGCCACAAGAACGTGAAGTCAGAAGTGAATGCTCCATTCAAAATATTATCAACGCTGTTGAGGATGATCAAGAATGAAGAAAAGATTGAGAAACTCCGCCAGAGAGAAACTGAAAACGGTAAGAACTCCCAAATTTTACATTAATAGCCTCTAATAATGATTACCAATACAATGAAAGTGGAAGACTAGATACCATGGGAGGTGACGATTACGACAGCTACGATGAAGCCAACCTTAGTGAAGCCGAGGATGATGAAGAAGAACGAAAAGGCATTGAAGTAGACATGGCAGAAATGGTACACCTTCTCACTCATAATCTAGGAACAAAAAGAAGCGAATGACTTTTTCAATAATGATGACGATGATGATGTAATCGACCTCATGGCCGATCATATCAAAGAAAGCAAGGATAAAGGCCTTGCTGACCTTGAGACTGGCTCTGAAGTATATATGTCAGAAATGCTAGGATTTGAGATCGAAGATGCTGAAGAAATGGAAGAGCAAAATGAAGAAGATCTTATTTCCCTCAACGATCCATGGGGGACCATTGATTTGAAGCAATATGTTATTGACGGGCTCAAGAAACTTAATAAAGAAGAACACTCATACATTATATCTTGTGTCAAACATCTCGAAAAGGATGATCAAGATCTTTGGAAAAAGTATATTGCAGAATAGGAGGCTAAATTTAAATATAAATATTCATTTGTAATGTTAAGATAAGGGGTTTTGGGGTTTTGGGGTTTTGGGGTTTTGGGGTTTTGGGGTTTTGGGG